CAGGAAACCAAATTCCTCCCAATTATACAAGTGAGACTCACCAATTGTTGACCTGGAGAATAGTTAACCCTGTTTCCGAAGAAAGTTGTTTTTTCTGCTCTTCAGATGGGTAGGGGTGCTAGAGTATGGGAATGAACAACAATAGCTACCAACAATGTCTAAGTGTGATTGAGAAACATACTGAACATTAACACGTCCCCAAAAAAAGGTTTTAAAAGTAAACTAGTTTATACTACTGAATTGCTATTTAGCCGTCCAATTCAAGCAAATAAGGTACAAATATGCAATTTTAGTAAGGTAAGGAAAGACACTGGATTTATTTATAATTCTTAATTTTCATAACCCACAAAGAAATTTCAACCCACACTTAATGACCTGGTTACACGTGTTTCAGGCTTTGCAGTTTCTCTAAACTCACGGACAGGTGTTGAAACAACCACGCTCTCATAATGTTGGTTGCAGCTTTGGGGAAGATACCACGTTTTTTCTGTCTCTTTGTGGATTTGTCATCGTCGAAGTCGTCGAGATTCTCTCCTGACTCCACTGACTTAGCGATTCCGTCACCTGAAAAAATCAAACCACTACATTAATTCGCATTCTGCATGTAAACTCTATTTTGAGTCCTTTGAGAGAGAACTACAAGTACTCATTGGAAGGCTGCATTGCCACTCAGATCACACCACATTTTAGAGAAAAATAACTTGTGTTCTAGACTTAAAATCACTCAAGAGCGAAACAATGACGTTAACTGGCACGCGTGTCTGTGTTGAAAAGAATGCTTTCAATCTCTAGCATTTTCAATTTGTCATCAATTGCTGACGTTGGATAGACCCCTAGAGTGACTGAAAAAAACGTGTTCACTGACCCAGCAATCAACCGACAGTCAATCTTCCTAGCTGCTGGCAATTCGGAGGAGAAAAAACATATCACGAAGGCATGTGATCTGCACCGCGCATTAAACACACGGGTGCTCCATGGAAGAGAATTACCATCTGAGGGATTCGAAAAGTTCCTCTTGCAAAATGCATATCGAGATATTACTTGCTCTGCTTTTGAAGGCAAGACTCTCCAAAGTCTGAAAAGCCTACTCCTTGCAATGACAGCAACGATTGGCATTATGTAACTTAAGCTGAATGATGTCCAAATGGTGCAATAAAGAGGCGGTAGATTAAAGAGGAACTGTGTGAGAAATGGGTGTTTCGTCCTCTAAAGCAAAAAAACCCATTCCTTTCCCCATTTAAATCTTTGTACATGCACAGACCCAATCTTCCTCCCAGCAAGCATGTCAGAGGGGGCATCATCAATTACTCTCCCATTGGGATGGGCTTGCCTTCATGCGCACACACATGAGGCTGCAAGTTTTCTACCTCTTGTTTCCGTGCTCTTTCTATCTTGTGTCTATGCTGGTGCTGTACACATCCATTCATTCGTTTGCTGGTTCGTTTGCCTGTTCGCCAGTTCGCCCTCTCTCGCGCTCCCTCTCAATTAATCATGAATCGGGTGCACATTCCACCAACACGCGTGTGCACGCGCACACTGACAGTGGCAGCCAGCGGGAATATTACACACAAGAAGTTTCACCGACGCTCTTGCCCGTTTACCCTTCCCCACGGCCACCGCCACCACCATCACCACCAAAGAAGTAGCGGCAGCAGTAGAAGCACTAGAAGAACAACAGCAGTAATAGCTTTAATGTCATTGTCCAATGACTTTGTCCTTGCAATAGTCAACTGTCTTTAGAGACCAAAAGCTTGGCCTTCAGGTTCCATTCATGAGATCCTTCTACCTTGAAGTTCATCAAAGCACAGTAACAGTCTGCGTGGGCACCTTGTGTCAGGTAAAAAAGCATGACAGTTTAAAGGACAGCTCTACATGCATTTGTAGGAAGTATAATCGCGGTTAGCCAGCCAAACATACATATGCCATTCTTGAGCTGCCGATGCATAGACAAGAAAGGCAAGCAAGCGAAACGCAATTCCTCTTTTTGAAATCGTAGCCAGTTGACCAAAGGGTAAACAACCTCAAAACCCATTAGGGTAAAATGCTCGTGTGCATTTAACAAATGGAGCAAAAGTTTCTGGCTGCAAACTTTGTCAGAAGAAACGTGTGTGGGAGAGGGCGGAGGGCGAGAAAAGTGAACAATGCGTGGGCACGTAGCGAGTATTTATTGATTTGCGGACACACAAAACAAAAGGAAGGAGTGGAACAAAGGTATTGAGGGCATTTACTCGCCCACCAAATGAATTCCCTCTGGTCTGCGTGTATGCTTGTGTGCGCCCCTTGGTGAAACCGATCCGACGGTTGCCGCCGCCCTGGTAGCACTAGCAGTTGCATTGCTAATTAAACACGGAAATAGCGAAACTAAGACAGCATGCACACACATGCACATCCACACGCCCGAACGTGACAACTGCTGCTACATCCTCTCTACTTTGTCAGGGCTCCGCTTAGAGGCTATTCTTAGCCGCGTTTGTGTATGTAATCAAAAGTGAAACTCAGTATTCATTCCCTTTTTCGTCTATTCAAATGTCAAGACTCATGAAGATATAAGGGATTTTGTCAGAGAAGTTAGAACCACAAGGAAGACACTGATGTCGTGTAAAAAAATGTATGCTTCAGGCCACTAAATGAATCCTGATAGCACGCGTCGCAGACAAAGGAAAGGAGCTTAGAAGGGAGAATAAAGATAAAAAATAAGAGAAGTTGCCACTCACCAGTCTCACTGCCAACATCATGAGGGCCAATGGACGAGTGGTAGCGTGGGATTGAATTCGACGTGCCACCGCCGCCACCATTAAGATGCATAGAGGCGGTCATGAGTCCACTGTCAGAACGGGAGCGCACGCTAACCCCGCCCTGACTGCCACTCTTCGATCCGTCCAGGTTGGAGGGACTGCAGTGGGTGGTATCCTCAGTGTCCGAAGATTTCCGACTGCTACCACTGCCCGGGAGGGCTGGAGAGTGCTGTGTGCGACAAAGAATGAAAGCGTTTGCTAAGCCAGTGGTTCCCAACCATTTAAGGTGTTAACTTTTATTTTTTTCAGGACTGAAATGTTGGCAGCATCATAACACACAGAATGACACCTCTCTACAGCTACAGACTGGGTGTTTTCCAACTTACGTACAGTTTGCCACGATGTTGAACCCCTAGATGCGCTCCCACTCCCCACCCTTAACCCGCCCACAAAGGTTCCCGGGACCTAGGTTGGGAACCACTGCTCTAACGACCCAAACCCACAGATTATAAACGCACACGCACAAGCATAGAGACAGGAAGCAAAACGGAAATGGAGCGTTCCATTGATCTCATTTACCTCCCACCGCCAACACCACGACTCAGAGAACTCGGTCTCAACTAGTAACGCACTCTACGAAAGAAGAGAGATTGAGGGAAGGGTGAGCCATACGTATTCGGTGCGACAGGATAAAAAGCACAGTGAAATTGTACGTGGACGCGGAAAGCGGAGCATATGCAACCAAGTAAAGCTGGGCTTGCAAGCATTTATATACACAATTACACACAAACAAAGATATCGCGATTACCGCCGTGCCTTCGCATTGCAGACGGATGGATAGTCCGATGATCAGTAGACTGATACCCATGATCATTCTCTCCCCTCCTCCCTTCTTTTCCATCATTCGCTCACACTCGTTTGTGCGATAGCTCGAGCGGCTGCTAATAGCATTTTAGCTGGACCGGTGATGTATTGACGAGAGGTAATAATTCACAAAAAAATCACCCCCGGTTCGCCCTCGCTCCCTTACCCCTCATACGCGCACACCCACAACAAATGCGCGCCCATGTATGTGTTTGCACGTCCCGCACATCTGCGTACGGGGAACAGACACCCATTAACACACACAAATGCGCGAAGGCGTCCACATACTTCTCACTCTCTCTTCTTTTGGTCAGTCGCACACATTGCAGTTGTTGTTGTTGTTTTCGGCGGTGGTGGTGATGGTGGTGATGTCTGTAAGCGTTATATCCTCGTATGTATAAATACGTTTTCCGTCAGGCGGTGCCTTGTTCATCGGTCCGCGACAGGCTTGTTTGAACACGCTTCACACACATTCAACAGAAGACTGTATCACCTTCGTCTCTCGCATTAGCATGAGTTTCTGCTACCCCTTTACTGCCGTCACCCACTAAATCGCCCTCCCACGATCTCCAAAAGTGAGATTTAAGTGATCAAGAAATGTCACTTATGCTTCCTTTGACAACACGCCACATTTGTTTGTATACGGCAGCTAAGCAAAACTGCATTCTGTTTGATTACTCATGCGCGTGTGCAAAATACCAGAGCAATGGGGAAAGGGACAGCGGCGGGCGGTGTGTCGTAAAAAACGGGCATACTATTACGCAGGTTGATTAAAGCGGAATTTGTGTATGTGTGTTGTGCGGACGTGAGCGCGCACTTAAGCCAGCTTTGCTCTTGTAACATCACCCTAAGCCCGAGGATAAAAATAATGGGTTATTAGCGCAGTCAAGCTGACTTGCTGCCATTAATCCTATCAATTCAACTTTGCCTCCGCCCACAATTTACCCCCTAATTTGCCTTCCCCCCTAAAGGCAGGATTATCGCACTGCAGTTCCTATCCCCTTACACCAGCAAAATCGGCCCGACAACCTTCCCACCCACTTACTCACCCCTAAGCCCCTAAAGCTAGCAACGACTCTGATCTATAACGTCCGAATAGAAGGCGGACCTAAGTGGATGGTGATTTTAGGTTTGGTTTTAAAAAGTGCAGCCTGTAAGCAGGACACCGAAAAAAGGGAACATGCACTTAGTTGGAGGCAAGCGCAAAAAAGTAGCAATACATAAGAAGCGGAAAAAACGGGAGTCATGCCAGTGGGTTAAAATTTAGCGCATATGAGAGCCCTCCTGAGTGAACCTCGAGTAAGAAACTGCTGCCACAACCGCCAATGAGAAAAAGAGGAAGACACGACATGCCGTTTATGATGAGATAGCTCTATATTATATTATAATATTTTTTTCCGCTTGTATATATATGCATATATGTATAGAGTGACGCGCGCACATGGACACCTCTCTCTCATTCTCAGTTGCAGGGATTTACCTTCAAGCCGAATTGCGTCGCTGCTGCTGCCGCTGCTGCCGCCGCCGCTGCCGTAGCTGTTGAGACAGGATCATTAACCCCTGCGGACGTACTGATAGACAGAGTGTCCCCCAAGTGGTGCTGCTGCTGATGGTGGGAGTGGGAATGAGAGTGGTGGTGCGGATAGCCCCCCGCGCTCATTGGAATGTTTCCACCCCCGTTTGTACTTTTCCCACTCGCAGTATTGTACGCTGCTGCGTCGCGGTCACCACCAAAACCACCCGCTATTTGCTGTTGCTGCAACTGCTGCTCAGCTATGATTGACGTGGCGACATAGGCAGGATTGGGCGGAGAGAGGACATCGGTGGTGGTGGGGAGAGACTGAAAGGGAGGTCGAAGCTGGCCCATCATGGAGGCCTGATAGGCCACAGCAGCTGCTGCTGCAGCAGGACTCTCGAAAAAGGGATGACCAGGTTGGTCGGCGTAGCCAGGAGGGTACCGCCTTTGCGGGTCCTCCGAATACATGGCAGTATAAGGGGAGGAGAAAGCGTCACTCGGTGGTGGGTGGGGCTCCATCCCCGGGGGCAAGTAGGGAGGACGCATCTGACCATGGGATGCGGGAGGGGGAGCTTGCGGACTGTTAGCTGACCCTGTAGAACCTGCAGACTCTCGATCCTCCACCATCAAGTCCGTTGGCATCCGGTTGCGCAGAAATGCGATATACCGCTCGCAGAAGTTGTCACACAGCTCGTGCACCTGCAATCAGTTAGGCGGATAAGTATGCCTCAATCAAATAATTCCCTTGGCTGCAGATCCTAGCTTTACAACCCTACTGTTATTTGAAAAAAGCACAGCTTAAACTATGGACAGCATCTAGATCTGTAAGTGAATTGCTCAATGGCTGCAGCATTTCCTTCTCATTACGAGAGTGAACAGAGGGCTGCTGCCAGTGAAAAATTTCCACCTGCAGGTTTATGGACAAGGACGTGTTAATTTCCGGAGTTAGAAGAGGGGAGGCAGCAGCAGCAGTAGCAGCCTCTTGCTGCCACTTTGTGATGTTTGGGCAGTTCCGGAATCGGCTTCCGTGACTACTGCTTCCGGTAGGAGCAGTAATAAAAGAACTCAAGCATGTCACCTTGTGGCAGTTCCAGCACCACCCTTCCTCTCCCTCTCTCTCTCACACATACACACACCATTCCTCCTCCACTCTCTGCACTCATGCGACTGTTTGTGAGTGGATAAATTGGCAGTCTTTATTTAAAGAGAAATTTTTCTTTGTGATTTAATACTGAGGCACAGTTGTGCTAGGAAAATCACACGCCAATCCCACATAAATTTGAAGAATAGATAGATTTGCCAATATGTACAAGCACACATCGGCATGATTAGTGATTTTGATAACAGGAACTAAACCTCTTGGCTCAGCTTCGACACCAACCTTTT